AGAGAGAGAGAGAGAATAGTATATAAATATAGACTTTTCCAATTATTAGTTACATAAAAGTTTTTATAATTGTAAAAAATAAAATATTTTTAATAGTAAATCACCATGAGTTCTCAGTCAACACCGCTCACTTCAAACCCAGAATTTCTGGCCCGATATTTATCACTCGAACAGCCGCCTAACAAAATTCAGATCACGTATGTATTTCTACACCCGGGCAACGATGGCCAGGCACATTTTTCATGTAAAACAAAGGTGGTCTCAGAGGTGCCCAAACAGGCTTCAGATCTGCCCGTTTGGGACTGCGGTATACCCACCGACTCGAGGGTAGAGATTCTATTACGACCCGTACAGCTATACAACGACCCCTTCCGTGGGGGCAATAATAAGCTTGTATTGTGTGACTTACTGTCGGCCGATATGAAACCCCTGCCCAGCAATCATAGGGCCAGTTGTGTGGAGGCCATGGATGCTGTAAAGCACGAGCACCCGTGGTTTGGTCTCGAACAGGAGTATATGCTTATGGATGGCTTTAACCCTAAATGGCCGTTGGGTTGGCCTAAAAACGGTTATCCCGAACCAATAAGTATGCCGCACGTGTTGTATCACTCGGCTGTGGGCACCGGCAGTAATGTGGGTAGAGATGTGATGGAGGCTCACTTCAGGGCCTGTCTGTACGCTGGGGTCAATATATGCGGCGAGAATGCAGAGGCAATGCTGGCTCAGTGGGAGTATCAGGTTAGTTTTTTTAGTTATTTTTATTAGAGTAATCAAATGTTGTATTAATATAATGTATAACCCGATGGACAGGTGGGTCCGTGTGAGGGCATCCGTATTGGGGACGATGTAATGATGTCGCGGTATATACTGCTAAGAGTGGCCGAAGAGCTACAAATCGGTGTGTCGTTTGATCCGCGACCCATACCGGGCTGGTTGGGCGCCGGCGCTCACATGAACTTCAGTACCGACAAGACTCGAGCTCCGGGAGGTTTGGCGGAAATTGAGCGAACAATTGATCGGCTTAGCAAACGACATGATAAACACCTGTCCCTCTATGATCCGAACGGCGGTGCGGACAACGCCCGTCGACTGACCGGTTCAGAGTATTACGCTTCCGATGGTAATAAATTTACATCATGTGTGGGCAATAGGGGTGCCAGTGTTCGGGTGCCCAAACAGGTGGCCCAGAAAGGTATGGGCTATATGGAGGACAGGCGTCCGGCCTCTAACTGCGACCCCTATGTGGTGTCCGAAGCACTCGTACGCACCTGTCTTTTGAACGAGTAATAGTGTCGCGCAATAATTGTTATAAATTGTATGACATAACAATTGTTTACATTGATAATGTATTAATAATGGTAATTATTGTTTAAAATGTTAACTACTATTAAAATCACAATTTACTTTATAATTTTATAATCAGTCTTATTAAAATTAAAATTATTTATATTTTTAATGAATTAATTGAAAATCATTAACATGTATCATTGTATCATTGTATCATTGTAACATTGTATCATGTTATGAATATAAATATCAATCAATGTTTAAATTTTTCTCACTATTTAGAAGCAATTTATTGCAAAATGTTTATCAATAAAATAATTGTTTTTAATTCAAAAGATAACTTTAATTTATTAAAAATAATGGATATATTAATGTTTTGTTGTGTTTAAACAATATTTTGATAATTATTTTATGTAAACGAGTTTTAATGACTATTTTGCAAATTCAAAGAACTCTTAAAGAATTTTTAACCACTATTCTGATATGAATAATGTGGTTTATAAGATCGTTCGGTACTGTATTAATATTTAATAACATAATATTGTTAAAATTTTTAGGTTACTGTCAATAACTTACTGAATGTAATTACAATATTTCGTTACTTGTTAGAATTACGATTCTTACTTGTTAGAAGAATTACTATAATTCATGTTTGATAGCTTTGTTGGTTAAACTTCTTGTTAATATTATATAATATATATTTTGCATTGAAAACAGTTTTAGAAACTTTGGAAGTTTTAGTATTTTTGTAAATTTTAAAAATTTATTCAATGAATTATAAAGTGATTAAATTTAAATCTCATCATATCTTACCGACTCATTTGGTCATTTCTGGCGCCGGCACTGATCTTTACAGAATTGGTTTATCACAATATAATACACATAACAGCCATAGAAACACATTTCGGAGACCAATACTTATATTCATTGTATTATTAATACAAGTGATTCGTTGCGTATGTATGATAACAATGGGTGAACAAAATGACCGGTTTTATGAGGTTTGGGGTGACTATGGACATTTTATGGGTGTCCGCATTAACGAGAATATTAACATTTTATTAGTAGTTATACAATGTTTGTGTTCACAATTAGTACATTTTTATAACTACATGTCGGGTATAAAACCCAATGATTTGCGTGTATTTCAAGTGATGTCGGGTTTGATTGCACCCAAAAGTATTGGTCTCAACGATAGGGATGTGGTGTTGAAGTTATGGAAGATTTTTCGTAAAATTTTATTTTGTGGCAATTTATGTCGAATACAAGCGTTTTTAATTGTATTTGTAACATTTTATTTTAATTTATCTACTCATGAGCTTATTGTTTATGGTATTCTCCACTCTATCCTATGGATGTTGATGGCTGATTATGGTTGTTCTATATTTGTTTGGCAGTTTTTTTATTATTATTTAATAACGTATTATTTGAGAACCAAATTAAAAGTATTTAATTATAAATTGACACAACTTTTAAATACGATAACTAGAAAAGGGATAACAAATGAAAAATTATTTAAATTAAATACATTTTCAATCAATAACTTGTTTAAAATCTATGATGAGATCAATGAATATAATGATATTTATTGGTCTAAATATTTACTTATAATATGGTTAACATTGAGTTGTGTTATATCGGACACAATATTTATTGTGTTTTTAAGTGATAGCAATATGTTTAGCAAAATTGGATATTTTATGTTTTTAATGGGATTTTCATTAATCCTGATGTTTATAATCCGTATTTCTTCACTCATTTATATCGAAGCAAATAATTCATACAAATTATTAAATTCAATATTTTGCGCAAAATATACCGAAAAATATTTAGGATTTAGAATAAAGGTTTGTTAAAATCAACATTAATTTAATATAATTATATTTATAGTTATTAACACTAATTGAAAGAATTGGTACAAAAAGAGTGGGTTTTTATTGTTGGAAATTATTTATTATAAACACTTTCAGGGGATATGAGGTCTGTGTTATAATTATTGTTATACCATATTATATTAATAAATTATTTGAATTATAATTTATAGATAATATCAATGATTGCATTATTATATTTAAAACTACTGGATATATCACGGAAACATTTTTAATTTGTTTAAAAATACAACCACTACATGTAATGTTTATATTAAAATTAATTATAAGTTATATCGTTATAATTTATAAATCATTATATTTTTTAAGCAATTGTGTAATCAATAATTTATTTCAAAAATACATTTTTGCTAAATTTTAATGCAATAAAAAATTAATGAAATTTATACGAAATAATGAAAAGTACAGTTATCCATAATATTGAATAGAAAGATATAGGTTTTGAGTACAAAAAATGCAAAATTAATTTCTAAATTAATATAAATTATAGTGACTTTTGGGATAAATGCACTTCAAATGAATGAAACAAATTTTAGGACAATTGTAGAGATTATTGACACACTTTTCACTAACACTTTGCATCCAATGCTTATCCAATGCATCGATAGTAACGCCGCGGATGTGTCTCAACGCAGACAGCGATGCGAACGACTGGTCAGTATAGGCGCCGAACAGTAGATCTAAATATTGAAGATCCGGTAAAGTGTGGCCAATATTGCGGAGGAATGGATCCGCTAAACGATTGCAGAATATTTCCAAATGAGTTAACCGTTTCAATGGCGCCAATAAATGGCTGGTTAGAGGCGGGTATCTCCTGGTCACCCGTCCCTCCACTCGTAGTCGTGTTAATCCCATAAAGTGTTTACTAATCGTACGAAACAATTGCTGATTCAATGCGTAGACATCGACGCGAAGACTCTTGAGTTGCGGACAATTGACACCAATTTTGACCATAAAAGGGATCAATAGATCGACTGAAGAGCGGCCGTAATCGTTGAATACCAGGTTAAGCGATACCAATGCACGCATTTCGGGCGCACTGTCTACCAGTATATTGAGTAGAGTGACCACATGGTCTCTGACCGTATGGTTGTGAACACCGAAACCCATTGGGAACGCATTCAATGCCAAACTCTTCAATTGACGCCCGTATCGGTCGACTATCACCGCCAACTGATCCGCAGATATCGAGTCCAACCAAATGCCCAACCGATCCAATCGTTTGAACACCACTTCGCCAGTGATTAACGCCGAAGACATGCGATCGCAGGTTTGAAATGAACGCTGATTTACACACATTTGCATCCATTTCTTAAACCAGTTTTCATCGTTTGAAGTCATAAAACAAATTGATTTCAATTGCGGACCAAATCGGGTGAAGAACTTATCGATCGCTTCCACACTATTGCCACCGAAGAACAGAGACATGTCTGTCAAATGCGGGCAATATTTAATCATTATATCAATGGCTTTGTCTTCGCATTGAATGTTTGAATGAATGGATGAAATGTTTGCACACTTTATGACAATTGACTCAAATATACGCCAATTGTATTGATTTAAAGGCTTGTATTTGTGGCCAAATTTGGTCATCAATTGTCTCATCAAAGATAATACTGTTGACTGAAAGCCATTCAAACGCTCCTTCGGTATTACTCTATCGTCTGAATTGTTATCAATTGATAGCACTGTTTGTCTTCTGAAGACCACTCTTTGCCACTGTTTGGAAACACATTCAAAACGGAAACTGTCTTCGAGTGAGAGATAAGACAACAACTCTTCGCACAAATCATCACCGAATCGATCCAAAGAGTCTTTTGCATACATTTTACACATTTTTGTGACACAAAATCAATTGATAACTGAATTGAGAAACACTTGTGATTGAAATGAATCCAAAACTTTTGGCAATTAATAATTATAACTGTTTTTAAGTGAATTACAGTTTGTTTTTCATATCATTTTATCATTTAACAGTAATTTGTTTAAATCTCGTGCTTATTATTGATATAAATTTTTATTTTATTTTAATTTTTATAATTTAAACATGCTTAATTTATTATCATGGTATTATTTAACAAATACGGTGCTATTTAACAATTATTATATTTATCAAAATTAATTTTAAAACAAACAACAACTTTAATTCACAATTTAGCAACAATTTTGTCAATTATAACACAAACCCAGTCATAATAATAGGCCAGTCGTGTGACGGGCACTGGACTTATCGGACGTTTGGCCTAAAAATGGGGCAAATTTACAGAAATTAAGATAAAACTTTTAATCCCTTAAGTTTTAATTGTAATTGTAATTAAAAAGTTCATACATTCAAATACAAGTTATTTTAATTCTTAATATTTTGTATAAAATACAATATTTGTTTGATTTATAATTAACACAAAATATTCATTCAAATATAATAATGACATTAATTTAAGAGTTATAAATATTAATTGAAATATATTTATATTTATACATATTATTCAATAACATATCAAAAAACAATGCAATGAATGGATAAACAAAAATGAGATCATTTGACAGTCAAATCAATTCGTTACTCTTCGGGCCATAACCTCATTGTTCACGTCATCCAAAGTGTGTTGATATCCATCGATCTCTTCGACAGAAGTTTCGCGAACAGAGGTTAAGAAGCGTTCAAAAGTGGTCAACCGAGTCATAAGACCCGACTTCTCACTCGCGGACACTTGTAGTCCATTGACAGCCAATTTTGTGCGGAAATAATTAGACGCCAATCGACTCTTAAGTGATCGCATTTCAGGGCTTAATAGCACTACTTTGCTGTCCAGAGAAGAACCCGACCGTTTGGCCGTCGGATCCATCGGTGCTCCCGATTGGGTGCTATTGCTTATACGCATTGACCCAAATTGGTTGCTAAGCAACAGTTGGGAAAAGTGGTCACAAGAGGGCAATTGTGTGGGCATAGAGTCGGCCATCACTTGAAAACTGTTGGCCACTCGTTGGCGACGGAATTGCCCGACGGGTGCGCATGTATTTAAATAAAAATTAATTGAATTAGTTGATTTGATTTCAATTTATCTATAATTACCATGGTAAGTCGTATTGTTACCATCATTAACGGCCAGTGCGCTAACATTATATCTGCCGGCGCCGCTATAGTCGGTAAAGTAGGCGTAATAATAGCCAGAGTTGTGATACAAGTTTAACGGGAGGTCAGTCTGCGTACCGCCCGGTCTGTCCACTGTTGCCGTCACTATAGCGCCCACAATCGGGTCATTGCCTTTACACAGTTTACATGAGATTATTGGCGGACAGTTGCCTTCCGGTGCGCGCAAAAACACTTGCAATTCAATGGATTGAGCGCCGGTGGGGTTGCTCTCAACAATCAAATGGGCCCTAACTGTGTCCGATGTCTGTGCCGTCACTTTGATAGCCCAAAGACCGGATTCAGTCGAGTCCATGAATAGGACGCACTCTTTCAGATCCAATCGTTTCATAATTTCTCCGCCGGAAGTGCTATAGACAGCAGCCGACGGGCCGGTGATCTCTACAACGATATCGTTGATGGCTTCGGAGCGGACATGTATTTGAGTGTTGCGTCCGATGTCGGCCTCAATGGGAACTCGAGTCTCATAACTGTTACGAGCGGTGCGGGTGTTGTCACCAATGATAACAACTTCATTGAGAACAGTATGAGTGACCACTTCTGCCATCTCTTTACTCGTAACGACTTCTTTCATCGCGGCCTCCATTACGCGGGCCATCATTTCGCGGCTCTCGGCGTCCACTCGACTCAAGTTAAACACTTGACCCCCGGTTTCGGTCGACAATCTCTCCAATCGGTGGTCAGCGCTCACACCGATTGCCAGACAATACACTTTTACCTATAAATAAAGTGCATTAATACATGTATAGCGCATAACATTTAACCATCATTTACTAACCTTCGCGCTAATCAATTGGGGTAAAACATAGCCCACATAGTCCTCAATACCGGTGCAATGCTCGCCATCAGTGGCCACAAACATCTTCGCGCCATTTGTGTCAACACTGGCCCGTCTGAACGCCGCCAACCCCTCTATAATCCCGGCGCCGATATCAGTGCCACCGCCGGCCCGCACGGGAACTGCCCTCACGAGACCGTCTCTAACCGCTGCGCCCGTGACCATGGTCACTTCATGCACTGACCACGCATTCTCGTTAAACAACACAATACCCACGTGGTTATTATCATTGATGCGGTTTATGAAGCGCAGGGTTTCCAAGTGCAGTGTCTCACACTTGGCTCCGGACATACTGCCGGACACGTCCAATACGAAGACTGTCCGCTCAGCCATTGTTTACTGTAAATACATTAATAGTAATTAAATTTAATTAATTAATTTCGATTTGATTATACAATTTGCTACAACTTTAAGCAATTGTGAGATTATGTATGAAATGAGTGATGATTTGTATTTGCCTTTAATATAAGCGATGAGTTTGTGGTCAACAATACATCAAATGTTAATTCACTCACAATTAAAATAACGTAAATATAATTTACATTGCTATCATTGATAGCCTATCAATGTTTGCATTTCAAATGCCTGTTATTTGACACGTGATTATTTTGGTAACAAAAAAGTGACACAAAAACAACCAAAACTTACGGTAAAACACATTAAAAACTAATTTATAGATAAAAATGTTTTTTATCGTGATATTCAATGACAATAATAAATAGCTTCGACTGTAACCAAATAGCATAAACCGGAAGTGAACGTGATTACAACTACAGTGCAATCTAATTATTATAGTTATGGCACTGATAATTATTGACCATGGTCACACAACCAAACATTAGCAACTGTGCGGGTGATAAATACAAATACATTAAGATTTCCGATTAGATTATGATCTTATCAAGTGATTTATGAAATGCATTATTAATTCATAAATTATAATCTATGCTTACAATAGACACAGTATGTTAATAACGGATTAGACTGTATTTGGTTTCACTTTCACAGTCAGTATTGCATTCATTGGATGTGAAGTTATTTCTCAATATTTCCTATCATTTAGTAATTGAATGCAATATTGAGATGTGTTTTACTAAAATTTAAGTTCACTTTTGGGTGTGTTTTGTTTAAATTTCAATTAAAACATGTGAGTAAAACATTAATTAATTTTAATTTAATTATAAATGATTTTATAACATTTGATTAACTTATTATCAAAAATTAATTATTATTGCAATTATTAATTGTTCACGGGTTTTGTGATTAATTACTATGAGTCTCTAATAGAGACTCTCTATGAGTCAACAGTTTTTGCCCATGCTCATACATTTATAAATACTATTACTGTTAACATTGATTTAGAAATTAATCTTAAATTTATGTGATTTTCATTTCAATCAAGTGATCGATGTTTTGGTGAAGACTTGACTCAAAACTAATGGCAAACCAAAGAGTGGTTGAAGTGATTGAAAATCGCTTTCATTTAAGCAAACATTTGTTGACAAATGTATTGCAAAAACTAAATGACAAACAATTTGACAAAATAGCGATCGTATCAGTGATTGGACCGCATTTCGAGGGAAACACTTTCACTGCGAATCTCATATTAAATTACCTGCAGCGGCAAAACAGTGGCCACACTTACCTCAATCTGTGGCCGCACGATGTCATACTCAGACATAACAGTGGGTTCAAAAGTGTGGACAATTACCCGGATGGTCAACAAAAGTGTCCGGCCATTGAGATGTGGTCCGAGCCGTTCATTGTTCGCGACGGCACTACACGAGTGGCCGTACTGTTAGTGAATGTGCAAAACTTTGCGTACACTTTAGCCGATCTGATCCGAGGCGACACTTCACTCATTCACATGTTTCGACTCATATCAAGCGTATCCACAATTGTGGTCATCAATAAGCCGGGCCTTAAGGTATGCATTATTAAAGTTACAATCATTTTAATTAATTATGTGTGATTTGATTAAAAATTTACCCATATTTTAAACACTTTAATCTATTTGCTTAATACAGAAATACCCCGGTAGGTCAGGTGACCAATATAAGATGTGGGTCAATTCGTACGAATATTTTATCAATACATTAATTGAATGGGAAAACAGTGATGGCAACACATTTATGGCCAACGTTTCGCAAATTAACGATCGATCAGATAATTATCGAAAACTTAATCAAGAGTTCAATAATAGCAGCACTTATTTAGTTTCGTGTCCCGCATATGATGTCAAAAACATTGATTGGAAAGTTGGGGAACTTTCCCGGGAATATGCGGACCAAATGAAGACATTTATACGCATAAATGCGCTCGATGTCGATAATCGTTTGAATGGCATTACATTTACTAACACCGATCAGCTAATGAAAGTGATCATGGGCAAAATTCAAGAGTTAAATCATAATAACAGCGTAAACACCGGCCCAACACATGAACCACATGTAGAACCCAAGAAACTTCCGGCGCCGACACGACGTAAACACCAATCAAGTGCTGTAACCGCAGAGAAAGTGGCGTCAAAATACTGGGCAATGAATGAACGCAAACGAAACAAAACTCATACACTTATTATAGACTTTGAGTGCAAACCGATTGGTGTTTGTTATCTCGACCAAAAGTTAGGCGCCGTTAACTTATATGATCCCAACGGTCACCTCGAGTCCAATTGCGTTGTGTTTGACGGCCAGAATATGCTATACGGGAGGGAAGCCGAGCAACACCTGAATGGACACACGTTTGACATCAAACACATTATGGGAAGGGATGTGACGGACGATGAGCTCAATTGCTATTCCTTCGATTTTGTGGACATAAAGCACCTAAAAGTACGGCTCGTATTCAACAATGAAATGAATATTGATTTATATATCGAGTCGTTGTTTGCGTTACAAGTGTTGGACGCGAAGACTAGTTGTGAACAGATGTATGAAAACTATATGAAAAACGTGTTGTTTATTGTGCCCACAAATTACACCATAAGGCAAATGAACGCGTTTCGGGACGCGGCCACAATCGCGGGCATTGAACATGTTCAGTTTATCACCGAAATGACCACGGTGGCCCTCAACTTTGGCTTAAATCACTGCAAATATAAACGAAACATTGATTTCCCGGACGTATTGATCATTTTAATGATTGGCAATGTTTGTGAGTTAGCACTCGTTGAATATATCGCTAATAATAACGACACGAGTGTTAAATACAATGCATACAAACGGGTGGACATCGAGTGGCCGTCAAGTGGTGCCGATTTTAGTGCCGTTAATAACAGATTAAGGGAATGCACACAACAGTTAATCAAACTATTCAAGCCTTTAATTTTGTCAAAATACATCCTTAAAATATATCACTGCTATATAGTGGGTTAGTATTATATATTGTTATTACCGTATTAATTACGGTAATTGTAAATTACAATGATAATTTATTTAAGTTATATTATTAAATTTAATTACCTAGGTGACACGGAACAGTTACGGGCACTAGATTTCGATTTTCTCAACAATTATTGCTCTCAAAGGACCATGGACGATTTGTCGGCCATTAGGATCGGTGCCATATATTACAGCAATTACTACGAAACCAATGGCCATAACATACCCATCACTGGAGTTATGTTTCGGGATATCGTATGTCATATCAGTTCTGGACATAAAAGCAAAACATTACTCTACGCTAATCAAGTGCCACAAAACCGCAACCACGTTAACTTTAAGTTATCACGATCTGATCGATTCCCGATTACTGTCCGCATTACCGAAGGCCCCGATTCGGTGATCAAAGAGTATGTGCTGAGCGAATACCCCACCGGTTCGCTGCCCTATCAAACCCTCTATATTGAAGTATTCGACACAATGGGTGCCAACAATACGTTGAACATAGGTTTGCAAATTGACACCAATGTTGGCCCATCACTTGCCCATTGGCATGTCACCCAACGCAACTACAGTTTGACCGAGTGTCAAATGAGTGAGCAAACAGAGCTCGTGGCAAACCTCGTCAAACCGGTCGCTTTGGACACCCATAACTCGCCCGATAAGTCTACTATCGATGACTGCGATTACTATTCAAACAACACAAACACTATGACAGTCACTACTAATGAGACTAAAAGTGATAAAATCAATAAACAGACAAATGAACGCTCAAAACCAGTCACCAAAAAGAGGTCGGCAGTGACTGAGAATGAGCTGGGTGCTTTTGTCACTAAACTCATTCAGAAGTACACAGAGCTAATATCTCAACTGTCAAATACGTGCGATCCCAACACACAGGTCTACGCGAATAAATCACGTGATTTACGTAATAGAGTTATGAAAGAGTTTGACACCGAGTTTGGCCGCAAAGAACCGACACTTTTAGTGGCCGACCAGAGACTGGCACTAATCGCACGGTTGGACACCAAAGACATGGAGTGTATGACTAAAGCGAAGGAAATGATGGCTAAAAGCGATAATAAATTACAAGAATTGGTTGAGTCGTGTGTCAAAGAGTTTAACGACAAAATGATTGCAGCCATCGATGAGGACATTGAGATGAATGGTGTCGATAATAATTATAACAAAATCTATGCTATGGTTAATAAATCGATAACTAATTTGTTTAATAATCGGGCGATCAGTCTATCAAAGCGTGAATATCAACGGAAAGCATATTTGTCTCATTTGTTGCATAATATTTCCACATTTATTGATAAATTCAAACAATTATACGATTGTAATGAAAGATATCGGCAAATATGTCGACAACAAATTGAGATCAATAGAAATTTACCGGACGTAGTGCTCCTGGATATGCAACGAGCGGTAGACGTGCCCCACGTTTTGCTCTCAAATTCACAACTTATGGAAAGACTGCATAAAATGTATGACAAAAGTTACCGCTATTTTACCACTTCTGTGGACAAAATACGCCATGGTGAAGAGCAATTGGTCAACACAGCCATTGAGTTAACAGTTGTCAAATATGGGGAGTTGTTTGACCATGTGTTAATGTTTAAGTTTTATATCCCATCCGATTTGAACGCCATTCACAACCAATTTGTGACCGAATGTCTGGCATTGTTAAAGCAATTATGTACGTTCACTACTGCTCAAAGTGACCAGGAGGACATGTGTCAGCAGAAATGTGAGGGTCAGTTAAGTGACACTTTCACACACATCAAAATGAATTATACGGCAAAATTGCGGCGATTATTTGCAATCAACGTAAATATCGTAAAAGATATGCACCGAAAGTATTGCCATAATATCGACAGACATTTGGCCACAGATTTCGGCGATGAGAACCAATTGCAGCGTTTGCTCGAAACCGAGTTCATCGATATAATGAACACATTTGCCGAACGTTTTGACCCGATTGGTCGGGAATGGGATCGGGCATTGGTCAGAGATATAGAGCAAAAGCATCGGCAGAGTCTCAATCGGGTACTGTTTGAACGAATGCGTGACTATAGGATTGCCAACTCTCACGGCGTGTCCTCCGATTCCAATGCAATTCCAGTGCCGGCGTCGCCACCGGTTGCGGATCCGGTCCAAGAGTTTAGCCAATTTTGCGCAGATATTGAAGCCCGACTCGAGACCTGCGATGCGATCGCCACCAAAAAGCGGAGACTTTCCCTAAAACTGGTTGAATGCCAGCAAATTGTGACAACAAATGCCAACCGATTGGACGAACAGAAACTGGATTTATTACGATTAATCGATTTGTTTAAGTTGAGAGACAAACTTATCATCAGTTAATTTTGTTAATCTGTTTTGTGTTTAGTATTGATCAGGTTTGTTTTGCTATAAAACTAATTTAGATGTAATGTATTTAATTGTTTTTCTATGTTTTCATTGCAGATCTCAAACTAATACCTTATTTCTTGGATTCGTAATTATTTGAGTTAATTTTGATGAATAAATTGTTTTTTTATTTGATATTTGCAATTATACTGTAATTCTATTTCATTTTACTTTATTACAATTACTAAAACACTGTTTAATTGATAATCAATAATAGAAATTATATTTAAATACTAATTAGTGCTTACAGATTATATGATTGCATTTCACTGTATTTCTCTTTATTGTATTTTAATAAATGATGATTGTAATTGATTTTAACAATGGTTGTGTTTAATTAATCATAAAACTGATAGCCTGATAGGTAATGTTTTGTTGTAATTTTAAGAAGTTGATCATGATGTACTTTAATAATTAATATCTAAATTACTATACAGGTTAGCATTTCAGGGAAATATGAACGGCACCGATACCTGCGGGTACTGGACGTCAGGACAAACATTTGTTTATTTTTATTTTAATTAGCATTTTTAATAAATATAAATCTGTCTTGTATTTATGCTAACAATACTAATTTTACCCTATTTTTTATTCAATAAATTGTGCTTAATTAAAACAATTTTATTTAGTTTTTTTTTAATGAGAGAACAGATTTAATCATATGATTTCCATCAAAAATTCAACATTTTTATTATAAAGTAATTTACGAATTATAATATATTAAATACAATTGAAATACAACTTTTAGTGAATAAAAAATATAGCAAATTAATTTCACACAGGGTTAAACATGCAAAATCTACAAAAACATACAAAACATACAACAATACAAACATATTTTTAAACATCAACCAAATATTGTACTCAATACAAGCAATAAGGTTAACAAATCAGATTCATTATGATTACAAATAATTAGTACAATATTAAAGTAACAAATAATAAACGATTAATTAGTTATTTCAAAGAATAATCAAACAAACAGTTAAAAATCAAGTTAACCAGTTTAATACAAAAAAGAGACATAAGGTTATGATTAACCAAAAAATAAACAAATCCAATATTAATAATGAATAAGTCATTAACCAATCAGTGGCGGCGACGGCGGAGCAGCTCATCCATGGATAAACGGCCCTTATATTCGGTCACTTCGTACTCGTGAACCGCGCGTTGAGATAAGACAACAGCCCTCACCTTAAGTATGCCCTCGTCGTTGACGCAAAACATGACCGACACGTGTTCTTTGCCCGCCCGGTCTGGGGGTATACCCGTCACCACAAATTGAGCCAATAGTGTGTTATTGGTGGCCACCGGGTCCTCGCCCTCATACACCTCCACCTCAAACTCGGTTTGATTGTCGCGTACCGTTGGATAGACTTTAGTTCGGGGAATGCCGTCCACCCGGGACTGGGCCGATATAATAGGACTCATCACACCGTCAATAGATTTCACGCTCAATGTGTGTGGCGTCACGTCAAGTACTCGGAGGAGTCCGAGCCGATAGGTGAGAGAGCCGTTCAGAATCGCCGCCTTTTCGTAATTATAATGCGATTAATTATTTACCGATAATTTGGTTATATTTAAAATACATGTCATATTATATAAACAACAAAACAATAGTCACCTGCAGTGCCGCGCCCTCAGCCACGGCCAGCATCGGGTTCACCGACTGTAACGGTTGGCGGCCATTGAAATACCGCGTAATCATGTCCTTAACGTACGGCATATATTTCGAGCCGCCGACCAGTACTATGTCGTCCACTTCATCGGCCGACATACCGGCGCCGCCGTTAACACCGGCCAGAGTACGGGTCACGCACTCCATAGTGCGGTCAAACAGGTCTTTATTTAACTCGTCAAACTTGGCTCGAGTCAAGTCCACCACCAGATCTCGGCCGTCGGCGATGTTGTCTACCATAATAGTGGCGGACGTGCTTTCGGACAAATAACACATCTGACGCTCGCATCGGTCCCGCAGGACTCTCATCGCCCGTTCGCCCTCAACCGACCGCCGGTCGACCTCAACGCCCGTCTGGGCGTAAAACTCGCGCAAACAGTAATCGATAATATTCTGGTCGATATCATCGTCGCCTAAATCGTGGTCTCCGCCCACTGCCAGCACATCCACCGAACCCATCGACAGCTTCAATACGGACACGTCGAATGTGGCGCCACCCAAATCGTAAACCAACACGTTTCTATGTTGTAATTACATATTTAATTAACGTAAATTTAATAAACAATTACCAACATGGTCAATTATAGCGTAATCTTCCATTGAATACTAACCTACAACTCGTGTCGTCAAATTTGTCCAGTCTATAGGCCAGAGCGGCAGCGGTGGGCTCATTGATGATGGTCAATATGTTAAGGCCGGCCATAATACCGGCCGCTTTGGTCGCCTCGCGCTGAGCGTCAGTGAAGTACGCGGGAACACTGATGACAGCATCGATTACCGAATGACCTAGGTCACGCTCGGCCACTTCTTTCATCTTCCGCAACACATCCGCCGACACCTCTTCGGGCAACAGTTGCCGCGACTGTCCGTCCACTTCCACCTCAAAGCCGGCCGCGCCGTTCATATCGACGACATCAAAGGGCCAGTACTGGCTATATCTGGTAACGTCCGGGTCGTTAAACTTGCGGCCAATCATACGTTTGGCCGAATAGATAAGGTTCTGACGATTGGCCAACAGGTTGTCTTTCGCCTCTTCGCCCACCACTACCTCCGCGTTGTCTCTATACTCGACACAACTCGGGGTGACATCGCTATTACGAGTGGTGTTTATATTACGACAAACTTTGATACGACCCGTATTGGCGGACCGGCCGGGCATATAATAGGCCACACAGCTATTGGTTGTGCCCAAATCGATGCCAATGGCCGGCACTGTCGGCGCGTTCTTGTTGTTCTCGTCGACCATCTGATCGTAGGCTGGCTTTAGTTTATCTGCCATTAGTTGTTTAAACTCATGGAGCGTTTTGTGAGCATGGTCATTTTGAAATAGCTCCACAGCTGTGGCCACCAATTTGTCATGAATGGCGCGCAACCTGTCGGGCCGTATGTACGACCGGTCGCAGTACTCTTTGGCCATTTCCTGGTTATACCATCGGATCGCTCGATTCACGACTGAGCCGTTTCCCGGACCCATGTCCTCCACCCGCGAGGCCAATATTGACTCCATTTTCCGTACGGTTGTGTCGAACCGGGCGTTCAGTTCCTGGAGGTCCAGACGCTAGCGATATATCGGTGTGTTTTCGCACACAAAGCGGATGTGAGCCATGAGTTTGTGGTCAACAATACATCAAATGCTTAATTCACTCACAATTAAAATAACGTAAATTTAGTTTTCATTGCTTTCAATGTTTGCATTTCAAACACTAAATGCCTGTTATTTGACACGTGATTGTTTTGGTAACAAATATGTGACACAAAAACAATCAAAACTAGGGATGGGATAATACATGAAAAAAATTTTGCCATGTATTATTCATGTATTATTACATGTATATCATGTATTATTCGTGTATTATTACATACAATGCTTAAGAATAGAAGC